TTCTCGAGCTTGGGCACGGCCTTCTCGAACTCCTTCTCGTCAATCAGCATGTTGCCGGAAGTGTCGATCTCGTCAAACATCACCGTCAGCTCGAAGTAGTCGTAGAGGTAGCACAGCATCAGGCGGAACTCAAGGAATTCAACGAAGTCCTCGGAACCCTTGTTCTCCAGCTTGCTGCCCAGGTCCTTCGCCTTGTTGAACGCACGCTTCGTGATGTCGCGCACTCGCGAGGTGAACTCGTCCAACTTCAGCACCTCAATGCAGCCGTTGTACACCTCATCGTAGGACAGCTTGCCGGTGTCGTTCTTGTCGAACTTCTTGAAGAGGTCAATGCGGCGCTGCTTCGCCTCGGCGGTCTTCTCGCGCGGAATCGTCTGGCGAATCCGCTCCCACGCAACCTTGCGGTCTGTGGCGCTCTTTCCATCCTTGTTGCCCTTGCCGCTCGCTTTGGCGCTCTTTCCGTCCTTGTTGCCGGCTGAGCTCTTCGACCCGCAAGCCCCCATATCTTTGTTCTTCCTGGATTGCTTTATTATCGGCTGTTGCGCACACTGCGACACACATAAACACAACGGGAAGGGGGAGCCGAGTTCAACGCCCGCGACGGCACAGGACGCACCAGCTAGGACGGCGGCAGCAGAAGAGTCCACACTTGGCCACACTTGGCCACACAAACTCATACGCACAAACCCAAGCAGTAAAAACATATACACATGGCCACTACTTCCAGAAATAACTTCTATCCCTATACCGCCCCACACCCAGTAGCTGGTTATATGGGAAAATATATCTACATTGGTGGCAAGCTAGGGACGCCTCTTGGTGTTCCTCAGTTTCACGCGCTCTCTGGCACGTTGTCCGGGTCGCCGTCGACGTCCAGCTTATGGGCCGAAGCCCACGCAGCAAACTCGTCGAACGTCACGGACCCGGAGCCGTTTTTGTCGAGCTCCTTGAAGAGCTTCGCGGGGTCTTCGATCTTCGCACCCCACTTCTCGAGCTTGGGCACGGCCTTCTCGAACTCCTTCTCGTCAATCAGCATGTTGCCGGAAGTGTCGATCTCGTCAAACATCACCGTCAGCTCGAAGTAGTCGTAGAGGTAGCACAGCATCAGGCGGAACTCAAGGAATTCAACGAAGTCCTCGGAACCCTTGTTCTCCAGCTTGCTGCCCAGGTCCTTCGCCTTGTTGAACGCACGCTTCGTGATGTCGCGCACTCGCGAGGTGAACTCGTCCAACTTCAGCACCTCAATGCAGCCGTTGTACACCTCATCGTAGGACAGCTTGCCGGTGTCGTTCTTGTCGAACTTCTTGAAGAGGTCAATGCGGCGCTGCTTCGCCTCGGCGGTCTTCTCGCGCGGAATCGTCTGGCGAATCCGCTCCCACGCAACCTTGCGGTCTGTGGCGCTCTTTCCATCCTTGTTGC